TAGATTTATTAGAAGTGTAATGGATTAATGAGTTGATTACCCAATTTTAATATGACTAGTTAGCTTGGTCGAATTTCCTAGTACTAATAATTAATGAAAAACTAACACAATATTGGATCATGAAATTAGTGAACACATAATTAATTAAATATATTCGAACTATGGACTATATTGTCTAGTGATTTCTTGTCAATGATCATGACAATCAATCTAAGCATAACATGGATATCTAACGCTCTCTAACATAATCAAATTCGTCGGTTAATATTACCTAACCTTAGGCTTATGATCAAAGTCTCACTCATACAAACCTAATGATCATAGATTCATATGATTCAAGTACATCAAAATAGAATGATCATCTAATCCTAACAATACTCAACAATAAACAAAAAACAAATCATAGCTTTAGCATGAAAGGTAAAACAATCAATTGAACACAAGTAAAAACCAAACTCACATAATCCAACTAACGAACTCAAAACATATTCAACTAGGGTTCATCAAGATCTAGTAAATGTAAAGGTTTTTACATAATATTCAGTAAACTAAAGCAGAAAATATCACCAAAAGATTGCGAGACACGATTATCAAGCAAACCCAAAGTGAAGTCTCGATACAATAGTGCCTGAATCTTCAAATCCTTACTCCAATCGAAATTCTAGCTTTAAAATCGACCCCTGGAGGGTTTTTGGACTTCAAAACGAAGTAAAAGTCGCATATATAAGCTGCCAAAGCCTACACACCTATTAGAGTTGGAAATTTCGTGTTTTTATATATTTAGCAATTCTACGGCGTGGAAATGGGTTTCCTTGCCGCATACGAATGAGTATATCGAGACGAGAAGTTTTTGGGATTTTTTGATCCGCCATGCCGTGGTAACTCCCTTGCCACGACATAGGAACTGGACATCATAATTTGGCATAAACATGAAAGCAACCAAACTTTTGTCTAGTTTTCAGAACATATTGAATCTTGTCAATCGGAGTTACGAGTCATGTGATATGGCCAAAACACTGAAGAAAAGGTCAAGCTGCCAACAACACCCTTTTTATGTCTTTTTTAGCTTCGTTCTCCTCCTTTTACATCTCAGCTCCCATTTTATTTGTAATTAAACATTTTTAAGCATATTAAGTATCATATATCTAAAAAATAACATTTTAATCAAATATATTAAGAAAAAAGGCTAAAATATATAGTTAAATAAGGCCATATCACTAACTTTTCCGTTTCACGAAAAATCGACACTTTTACGAATAACGGACAACTACAGCAAACGAGTTTCCACCGTCAAATGTAACTTCAAACCATTCGCTCGCATAGCTATGCTATTCATTTGAAAAATATTTTGACATATTACAGACTGTACAATCGAGTACTATAACCTAGTGTTTTTAAAAATTTCATGGGATGTTGGATTTCGACGACTTGTCTCATGCGGACCGAAAACGCGCCACACGGTGCGTTCTCGTCCGCTCATTTTACCTAACTTGGTCTATAATTTCATGGGATGGTGCATCCATTCTCACACATTATCCACTATCTCTCTAGAAATATCCCCCCTCTCTCTCCTTCTCTTCATTTTCGACCGAGCACCACCGTATGCTGTAACATCCCGAAATTCAGGTCAAAGACTGTGAACGGTCAAGTTCACAGTAAACTTTTTGGTAATTTGACTCATTGAGTTTTAGTGCATCTTATGTGATATAATTTGAGTTCATTCCAACTATTATAAAATACCAGATGGTATCTTACTTCCAAATATGTAAGCTAGTAAACGAATCAAACAGCTCAAACTGCAACTCTAGTAATGCGTCTGAAAAACTAAAATTTTGTATTAAGGAGTTGTGAGCAATACAAACACTCTAGTCTCGTAGTACGTGTTTCCCTGATTTCGAAAATATAAAGAACGTCCCAAAAGGAGTTCGTATGCAAAAGATACGACCGTTTAAGAATCCAAAAACCAGTATAATATTGTGTAACATCCCAATCCTCATGTATGAAATTTAATTCTTTAAGCATGTTTTTCCTTGGGAACTCGGCGATTTGGGAGCCTCAATTCGGCATGTTGAGGTGACTTTTGGCCGCGGATATTATTGAACCAACTCGGCGAGTCGGGGTGCCCCAACTCGACGAGTTGGCAGCGGAGAAAGAAACCCTAATTTTTAGGGTGTTGCACCCTATTTAAAGGCCTTAAGTCCCTTGGTTGGCCTCCTTACCAGCCTCATCTGTCCAGAAACCCTAATTTCGTGTATCATCTTCCAAAGTTGAGTGTGTGAGCTTGTTCAGAGTTTGGAGATTTGATTTTTGGTACTCTTTTGAAGGAGCCTTGAAGTTTGAGGTGTCTAGTTCGAGAGGAAGGCTATAGATCCAGAACCTCCCCATTTGTTGCAGTCCTTTTGAGGTATAAAGTCAACACATTGCTTCCTTATTTCTTAGATCTCTTCCTTGAGGTTTTATTATGATTATTGGCTCATTGTCAAGTTGTTCAAGGAGTTGAGTATATTATGGGTTGTCACTTTAGATCTGGCCATTTTGTGGCCTCATTTGGCTTAAAGTTGCAAGCTTTATCAGGTTCTAGGCCTCGTTCATGCATTAAGTCCTTTATTAAGCCTTTAATGAGTTCTAGAGCTTCTTTTTGGCATGCATGAACGTAAAGTTGGCAACTTTGCGTGGTTTTCCAGCTCCAGGGTATCAGATCTACATTTTGAAGCCTTAGATTCGATAAGAGGATTGAATGTGTTAAGCTGGCGAAAACATGGCGAGTTTCCAGCCAACTCGGCGAGTTGGCTAGGGTTTTCCCAACCTTCTAAGTATTATAGAAACTCGACGAGTTTGTTGGTGCACTTGACGAGTTGGGTTAACATAGACTTTTGACCTTGACTGTTGAATTTGACTTTGACCATGGTTGACCAAGTGGACTTTTGAGGGAATTTTGGGTATTTCGGGGTTTTGATGGAAGTGGTTAGATGGTGGTTGTAGGCATTTGAGTCGGGAGCTGAGATTCGGAGTTAGATCTTATCAGTTCAGCACTACTCGCGAGGTGAGTGTTCCTCACTGTACTTGTTGGGTCGAAGGCACCAAGGCGGGCCCCTTTGGATGGTTATCTCGATTATTGCATGATTGAGTATTGTTGTGATCTGTTGGATTTCTATCCTGGTAGATAGGATGATGTTATGCTTAGTGATCTGTAAGATCTGCATGTTTGTCTGTTGACTGGTTATATGTTTATTTGTTATGTATATGTGGACATGTTATGTGTGGTTGGGTTGAGGCGATCATGCTTTGTGCTGAAGGCCAACAGACCCAGGGCGTCCCGGATAGACTGAACGCCAGTGGGGCGTACCAATCAGGCCGCAGGCCCAGAGAACGTTCCAGATAGGCTGAAGGCCCAAGGAGGCGTACCAGTCATGCTGAAGGTTCTGTGAGCGTACCAGATAGACTGTAGGCCGGTGGGGCGTTCCAGTCAGACTGAAGGCCCTGTATGCATGTTGTTTATTATATTATTCTGGTTTTGTGATGTGTTGGTATTTTGGGGGAAACTTACTAAGCTTTGGGCTTACAATTTTGGATTATGTTTCAGGTACAGATGATTGCGGGAAGGCGAATGCTTGATCGTGCACCTCCTCGTGTATTGTGTTATGATTTTTGGGAAAACTCTGATATTAAACATCTTTTAAAAACTATGTTGTAAACACATATGATATCTGGTTGATTTTAGAAATTTAAAATTTTTAAGAATTTTATGGGTGTTACATATTGTTTTTCTTAAAACCACTAAAATCGTTTCTATCCGTTGAAGGACTTGCACACCTCAAATGGAAATTCTGAAAGCATTTTTGGACTCAGGCTATAGCTTAATATTTAATTTTATAGTTGGAATATTTTTTATAAAAAAATATTTATAAAAGTAAAAATCAGACGTTTTCAGCTTAATTAAATGCGAAAGTTTAAATGTTATTTCACGGAGATCAGTATAATAGAATTCAATTCCGTCTGCAATTTTGGGAATCACCACGACCTGAACATTAAGCATACACTTTAAGAAAATTTATATAAACTGATACGAGGACACGAGAATCGAGGTATACATCACGATAAATAAATAATATATATATATATATATATATATATATATATATATATAGGGAAGAGTTTTTAGGAAAACACAAAAACCCTAAAAAAACCCTAAATATCATAAAAATGCATAAAAAAAATACTTAGAGATTACAAGACTTTTTTTTTAAAACAATCGCAGGTTTTTTAATAAATTCGCTGAAAAAAAATAAAAAATCAATTTTTTAAAAAAAAATTAAAAAAAAAAGTTTCAAAAAAAAAAATCAGCCAATTTATTTAAAAACCTGCAATTTTTTCATAAAAAAATAAAAAAAAAAAGTTTTGTGATCTCTAGGTATTTTTTTTATGCATTTTTATGATTTTTAGGGTTTTTTGTTTTTCATAGAACGTAAACCTATATATATATATATATATATATATATATATATATATATATATATATGTTGTAGTTCTTATTAGGAAAAATGTTTATAAGATATATAATGACAAGGCCACAATATATGTATATATATATTTGGTGTGGTATGCGACCTCAAAAGATCCAAATTAGTCGTGTAATCATATCGTATATAAGTTATCTAATAAAAATTATATAACAACACTAAATATATATAAATTTATACATATGACATGTAACATTTCCAAATACCAATTAATAGCATATATAACAAATTGGACACTTATTATGTATAAATATTCAATTCTTCATATATCTGTATAAACATACGTATGTGTCAATTTTTAATTTAACAACCAACTGTTTAACAAATTATTAAATTTTACATTTCTAACATATGGATTTCAATTTATATACATATTATACAAATTTATGTAACAAACTCATAACAAATGAAAAAATAAATTATATTGGTTTGTAAAAATCTTAAATATACATGTGTATACAAGAGGAAAACACCAAAAATACATACCAAATCAAACAAATACACACAAATACATACCCAATTAAATCAATACATCAATACACATAAAATGCATACTTATTGAACTAATAGAATGTTTACAAGATTAACCAAAAATAAACAAAATTTGACAGGCAAGGTAATAGTTTCTTCCGAGTTTCATTTGTATCATTTTATACAAAGAAACACTCAAAAGGAAATGAATTCTTGCACTCCACTGTTTTCTTTCCTTCCCACGTTTTACATTCACCTGTAGTACTGCTCCCACACATGTATGTGGAAAACACTGTGTGGTATTGCTTCTACTCATCAACTACTGATTCACAAACAATCCAACAACAATTGAACCCTTACAGTAAAAATTGATCGATCCTTTGTATCTGCTTGCATCTTCATTCCCAGCCAAAAACAAATGGATTCTTCCTTCCCATCAAATTCACAGCAGAAAAACCATTGAATCCTTCCCCTCTTCCCCTGTCACAAACAAACCCAAACATCAATTTGGTTTCTTCCATCGATATCTATCAAAAAAGAACAAATAAAAAACAAGGAAAGAAAGAGGAACCCTTACCTGTGTTGATAGCTGCTGCGTTTCCCGAATCAACAAACAGCCACGATCGAACTCCCCTCCACCACCCATACGACAGAAAACTTGAAACCACCGGTCTCTAACTAGCGTCATCGCAGCACCACCGAGACCGACGACCGAACCCTCGTACCCTCCTCTTCCCCCTCCCCTCGAGCAAACCCACCGAACACCCCGTCATCGTCGCTGCTGCTGCTCGCGACGCCTCCTAGACCCCCTTCGGACCTCTTTCCCCTTTGCAACTACTTCCAAGACAGAAGACGAGCAGCCCCGCTGCTTCGTCTCTTCCTTCTCGTCCGAGGTCACAGCCGCCTCGCTGCTTCGATCCTTCTCCTTCTTCAGTCTAGTCGAACCCCGGAGGCCATCACCGATTGCGAGTCGAGCGACGAACCTTCGTGCTCCCTTTCGACCCATCGATTGTTCGTTCACGTTTGCCATTCATCTGTGTTCTTCGTGTCGACTGCTTTCAATTGTAGCTTTCCATTTCTTTTGCCCGATCAAACAAAGAAACGGGGGCTTAAAAACCCTAATTTAATTTAGCTTGTGAAAGGACCAAAATACCCCCACTGTTAAATATTTATTCAAAATCAGTCCAAATCCCCAAATAAGAATCCCATTTATTCAAAAACAACCCATACCTTGAAAATTATCAGCCAAAACGGTCCCATTTATTCAAGAAGTTACATACCAGCCCCTATAATTTGTTCAAGTTACAAAATAGTCCCTCCTTGAATTATTTTAACCAAATCAGTCATATTTTGGTTATCTAAATTACCAAACAACCCCCAATAGTTTGTATTTGTTACGAAATGGTCCCGAGAGTATGTCAAAGTTCAAGAATGGTGGATTTGTGGTTTTTCACGTCAAGCTTCCAAAAAATTAACAAACTCCGAACAACTTGTACTCACGCTTCAAGGGTGAGTGCTTACGACCATTTTTAATATTTTAATTATTTCGGGGGAATACATGTATCTAAATATTTTGTTTATACAAATCAATTTCCTTTTTATGTAAAAATACAATAAATCTAGTGTATAAAAATATTATTATTTAACAATTGCCATATTGTTACGAATAAACTAGCATAAATTTTTCGTATACGTATTATGGTTATTTTATCGTGGAATAACCATTTCACATAACAAATACTACACGATACAAAATTTTATGATTTTATGTGACATTGCATATTATAACAAGCACGTTATGAAACTCTATAGTATTTCAAGAATTCAAGCTATTACTATGCATGTTTATCTATATCTTCAGTACACAACATTTATACATGTGCATATGTTCATTAATTTGAAACATTCATTTTTATAAAAGCGAGCACATTACACTTTTACATAAATGTCAAACATACTCGACTTTTATAAACCATACACAACGATATTCATTATACCTAGTGACTTAATCACAATTAAGTTAGGGTTGAGAGTTATTCACAAACTTTTTAGTTAAGGTCTTTTTAGTGAGACATTATTCATTAGCTGAGTTTAAACACTTTGCCTACCCACACTACTAGGACCGTTAATCTTCGGAGCGAGATACATATGTATAGATCTATACGGGGTTGTCATCCCTACCTGCGGTTGCTAGCTACAACCCTCGACCGATCAATCGAAGTGGGTGATAGGTGTCTACAATTTTTACTACAACGTCCAATGAAGTGTTGTAGGGGGTACACTCAATTCATATAGCTCAGTTATAGGACTCACTATAAACATTAACTAATATATATATATATATATATATATATATATATATATATATATATATATATATATATCACTACAACCATGAGTTTGGTTGCTTTCAAAACTATTTTAAGTATGGAATTACTTATGTAACAATACAGTTTGGTTTTCAAATATATTCAAAGATTCATTACAAACACGTATTTTAAGTATGGATTTACTTATATAGAGATACATTTTGGCTTTTAAAGACTCATTGCAAACACTGTTTCAGCTATTGTTATTCATACAATTATAATACTTTTTGGACTTATTAAAAAAATTATTGCTTTTAGTAGAAAACCTGTAACACTCACTAACCTTGTGTTGACCCTCAAAACTACATGTATTCTCAGGAAATCACTAAACATACATTCAAGACTGATTGGATTACACGTGACCTAGTTTACTTGGTGTTGTATTATAAGCCTATCTATTAAGGCAATTCATGTATTATTATTATTTGTAAAAAACCTTGTATTCAAATATCAAGATGGAACACGAATGCTATTTTGTTTATTGTTGTACTTGTGCTATATATTCAGTTTACCCGTGATCCATGAACTTAGTCGCACAACCCGACGTGTTCAGCTGCCTCGGCCGGGGGTGTGACATATGCCGCCACCGGCGTCACCATGCACCCGTTGCCGTCTTGCACCCTTCAGCCTTCGAAGAAGCCTCGATCAGTCGATGCCTCCGACGACCTCTGGGCAGCCTCCACTTCTCTGCTATTTATTGTTGCCGTCGTCAACCACCGCCGGCCGCCGTACACTGCCACTGGTGATTTTTTCTGGTTTTTTTTTCCGGTGGTTTTCCGGCCATTTTCCAGATCTGATTCAAGGAGTTCCAGGCCCTTTTTTGACTTCTCGTAGACGAAACCTTGTCCGGTTGATTTCAAACACTTTATGACTTTTCCGACAAAAATGCGGTTTTTAAAGCGTGCTTCGAAATTGAGTTTCACGGCTCCATTTGCAAACATTTTCTAATTTTCGGGGGAGAATGCATGCATATAACTGTTATTTATTATTTATATAAACTTAAATGACTATTTATGGTTTATGTAAATTTAAACTATTATTTATCCATTTTATAAACATATATTTATTTAAAACTGATATTTACACTGTTGAAACTCTGTTTACATAACTTGTACAATAATTATGCACTGTCGAAACTCTATAAAAACATTTATAGTAGTTTTACTGTCGAAACTTTGATAACAACACACTTATAGTTGTTGTACTGTCAAAATGTCACACCCCAAAACCGGAATGGCGGAAACGTTCAGGGGTGGAGGACGTCATGTACAGTATCACAACAAAGTATAGTAGTAAACAAGCAACAACATCATCCATTGCATTAATAATATAATTTCATACAAGTGTGTTCGGTAAAGTTATAAGACACCAAAAATGTAAATCAAAATATGAGATGAGTCTTGAACGTGCTCCATTTTCTCAAAAGCCTGGCATCGGTACTTGTCTACTGATGACCTGAGAATACAAGTTATTTTGAAAGAGTTGATCAGCTTTAAAGCTGGTGAGTTCATAAGCATTTTAGTGTCATTGTTTGTTATGAAAGTATTTGTATGTACTTGTTGTATAAGTTTGTAAATGTTTGTATCTCCTAGAAAATCCTATATTTTCTACTAAACGTAGCCTTCTACCAAGGCATCAAATGAAATGTATGTTTGTTTCTTGTTAAAGTGTGTATTTTCCCAAGTATGACTATCATTAACCAAAAATATAGTTTTACATTATCTTTTATGTGAAAAGATCACAATGTGAATGCAATGGGAAAATAATAAAGTACTGTAGTGTTGTATTATAGTAACTACTGCTGTACTACTTACCTTAAATCAATTGTTACTTAAAGTAACATGTGATATGCCTGTACCATACTACTGACTAAAAACACGACGATGAAAGACGTCCGAAGAAATGACATTTGGCACCCGTAGACTTGCAAGTCCCACTATAGCGAGCAGCAAGGTGTAGGATAGTCAATCCAATATAGATCTATACACAAATTCAACGCTCTCCTTCTAGGAGACTCTGGATACAAAACAAGCCATGACAGGTGATGCCATGCCCCGTTACATGGCTCACATTTCTGTTGTAATGTTCTTGTATATGTATTGTATGTACTAGTGTAATGTATGTTCTCTCTGTCTAGTATGCTCTGTTTGTTTCTCATCATAGTATGCTTTATCTGTATGTTATTGTTTGTTTCTCATCATAGTATTCTCTATCTGAATGTTATTGTTTGTTTCTCATCATAGTATTCTCTATCTGAATGTTATTGTTTGTTTCTCATCATAGTATTCTCTACCTGTATGTTATTGTTTGTTTCTCATCATAGTATTCTCTATCTGTATGTTATTGACTCATGCATGAACTAACTCATTGTATGTTTCATTGTTCTAGTATTAGTATTAGTAACTTCCTAAACTATACCTATTATAGTTTACTAGTAATGTTGTTTGTATGTATGAACATGATTGTATACCTTTGCTACTCAAAGGTATTGAACTAAATAAAGGAATCTTTTATATCTATACACATATACATAATATATAACTAAGATTCAAACGACCTTCGGACAAATAACCGATACCCTAAGTCCACAACCAAACAAGGAACAGGAAGCAAGGCGAGCTATCAGTCCTAAGTCCTTTCAATCCTACTTATATAACTATATCTATATAGATATGCATTTGACAAAGTATAAGTTTAAATGAGTTTGAATAGAAAGTATTTAAGATGTAAAAGTATTTGATAACCATTTGAAGTAGTTTTGTTTGATAAAACAACTAATTGAATATCAAATCCTTTGTTTGATAGTTATTAATCACATGTGATTGATATAATAACTATAATGTTTCAACTTGTATTCCCCCCATAAAAGCATTTAAAATCATTTAAAAGGTAGATTAAGGGGTATGAACTCACCTGTAGTGAGTGGTTTGGATGAACGGATGGTATAGGATGCTAAGTGTCAAGTGAAGACTTGAGCACACACACGAATTCTATTTAACATATATTGACACATATATGTATCCAATTAGTCAATTAACAACTAATTAATCAAGTAAAGACACCCTAAAACATGGATAACACTTTGATTCAAGTGCTAGGAGTACATTAGGGTTGCATCTAAGGGTTGTAGGGCTTTGCTTTTGAGTTTACGGTCCAAGAGTAAACTCTTCATGAGTTTATGGCCTAGGGTTTGCGGCCATAGTGGGTTTACGGCCGTAAACCCATGGTAACTTCTACCATTTTGATGTTTAAGGTCCTTAGTTCAAGTTGGAAGGGTTCTAGACCAAGTTTTAAGCCTTAGGAAGGAATAGTGGCACTAATGCACCACTTTGTAGAGTTTACGGCCCATGGTCATTACCCATGAGTTTACGGTCGTAAACTCATGTGTGCTTGATTCTTTTGTTTGCTTAAGGTCCTATACTCCTCATGGAAGTGATCTAGACTTGGTTCCAAAGCTTTAGAAGGGACTAGGGATCATAATGGCCCTTTCATTAGAGTTTACGGCCCAAGGAGATTGCCTTGGCCGTAAACACTTATGATCTTGTGTTTCTTGATGTTTTCTAGTTGTTTAACAAGTGTATCAAGCCAATATCAAGCTAAGGTAAGAGTACTTACAATATAGAAGCTTGTAAGGGGGTCCACGGCCCAAGAACACTAGTGTGTGTTCTTGGTGTTCTTGGTGAAATGAAGAACACTTGAAGATCTAAGAA